GAATCAGAAGCGGACAATTGGAACCAACATGAGATTGCTATTAGTGAAAATTCAAAATTTGATCAAGTATAAACGAAATAGAGATTCTCTTTCTAAATTGGTCAATTGTTTATCCTCGTCTTGTAATAATATCGATTTTGTACAGTTACTCCAGGAAACTGCTTAAGTTCCGCAGAAAAGACGGCTGTTCCTTGCAGGTCTTTCGCTAGATTTACTAGAAATATTTGAATTTTTTTTACTCTTTTCCTCGAGAGCGGTCGGTAAACTCGAGTTTCGAAGTTCCAGTAAGTGACCCACATCATACAGTAGTAGGCCCCACCGCCGACGGGTGCACGTATTTGATTTGGAGCTCAATAGCTGTTTCCTCTGTCTAGCCACCCCCTCCTGTTGAATCAATATTCCTATCTTTTCCATCTCAAATAATGACCCGAGTGGGCATGTGATTGCCATTCTTGTGACTGATCCTGATTTTTTTTAAATATTTTCCCACGTTTTGCAACAGTCCTGGTGCGTCTATCGGTTAAATGGACATTTCAAAGCATGTGCCAACCTCGAGTTGTTTCCCAGTCTTTCGAGAACTTCTCCTCACAGGGAAAAACTCGGTGATCTTGTGGTTCGACACATCTTGTACGGCTCTTCTCCTGAAAAGAATGGTTTTTTCCCGGGATTGAAAACTGCAAACAACCGAAGAAGACTTTGGTTTGCGTATCAAACAGTGCTCTATCAATTCAATCAAAAAAATTGACGTGGTTTTTACGAGCGGAGGTGCTTTTAATGATCAAACCATACAGGGGTGAAAACGACAAAACATACGAAAAGACAACAACTTACGAATTATTTCGACGGTTTTGGACATTTTGGCATGGTTTCACATCGTCAGACGGGTGTGCTTCTTGTTTACACGGAGAAGCATAATGTTCAATCTGAGGTGTCAGAGAATTCCTCTTCTTTCTGCGGCCTCGCTTTCGTGCTAGCACATTCCCAAGCATACTGCCCTCCTGAAATGAACGACTCAGAAACCAACAATCGGATGAAAAATGCTTGATGAGCGCGCGCAAATGAACGACAGCCGATGACACGTGATACAGTAAGCAAAGAGAGAAACAGACTGAAAATGAGGGAACAATTCTAAAGCTATCAACTGACAATTCCCTATTTTACCAGATCGCAGACTGAAAATGAGGGAACAGTTCTAAAGCTATCAACTGACAATTCCCTATTTTACCAGATTTTTTACCTTTGTAACTCCTCCCAAGTTCCCAAGTGACGGCCATCAAAGAGGTATGACTACAAACATCTCCCGTTCAAGGCAGAAGGCACGAAAAATGGCACATAGAGGTAAAACGAAGGCACCAGCATTATGTACCGGAGAATTCGGTATTACAATTAGTCGGACTACGGCATTCATAAGAATACACAAGCGGCTTCTAGAAGTTGGAAACTTTCTTTTCATACTTTTCGATTTTTTTGTATGGACGGCCAAATGTGCGTAGAAACATTTGCAATTCAGAGGATGAAGATCGTTAAATTCAAAGGGAACAACGAACCACAAGTGGACCATTTTACTTATCTCCCCCAGACCTAAGTATAACTAGCATTACTTTCCCTGACCATTTATAACAAAAACGAAGGTGGTTTCAAGGCCTGTATAAAGGGAATATTGAACTAGCGCCTAAGCGAAGACTCCATGGAGACCTAGCTCCTCTAATTTTGGCATATAATCATTTGTTTATACAGATTATATTACCGACCGATTACACAGTGTGACATATGGCTGCCCTTCTGTTTGGCATCGATTCCTACATCAATGGCAGCGTCCCTAGCTATCAGATAAGGGTCACCAACATCCTAAGTAGAAATGGTGAGACCTGACAAACTACATCTTCATTTTCGCTTAGCGAAATCGTACACACCGAGCTGCATTCATACTTAGCGCAAGCGCACGCCGGCGTACAGCAGCGTTTCGAGCGGACGCCAAATCGATACCTATACTTCCTATCGAAACGCTGCTGTATGCTCACCACGCTAAATCGATATACATATGCTGTAGGCTGGTGGACGCTAAAACGCTGGATCGATATCCCACTTTCTTAGTCGCTCTAAAAGGGTCTACAGACAACTAAAACTCAATTCTCGTTCTTCTCTGCGCTCTCTTGCCTGAATGGCGATTTATGGCCACTTTGACCTTTCACATTCCAACTTTTCACGCATACTAAGTGGCTCATCCACCCCGGTGTCCCCTCCCCTCGAAAAAACTCATCTCCTGGCTCGCATCGTGTTTTTTGTACCTCACGATGCCTTGGCAGTAGCAGTCCCTTATTGCTCTGCGCTCTGGCCTATCGTGGCAGGACCCCCACCAAAAGTC